TTGGGAGTCAGAGGAGAATTCATTGCATACATAAGACCATGTTGTCTTTAATCGCTTACTATTTATTACAAATATCGGATCCTAATTAAATTCTCGGATTATCCACTACCAGCGTCTTTTTCCGTCATTTTTACCTCAGAAAGTGTTGTACGTCTAACTCTTCATAAAGTTTATCAACTTGTACATCAAGCGCTCAATGTTCGCTTGTGACCTTTGACATCACGCGTGCAGAAGTTCCCAATCGTCGGGCTGTTGATTAGGGGAACCCTTACATTTTTGTCCTGTATGCGCTCCATGAGTGTTTTTCGGGGAATCCAGTATTTTTCTAGTAAGATTGGATATTTCTACTTTCCATATATACCAAAATTGCCATACTTTTATTGGAAATAACCACCCGATAAATACTTTTCTGGGAACCCAGCTTTAAATTAAATCATCTGATGGTTTCAATCCGTTATATCTCCGCCATAGGCTTGTCATGTGAACAAATGTCCAAATAATTTATATAACATTTGAAGTCAAAAGAAAGACCTGCGATCGGCAGATTTGGCTCTTACATAATAATCTTTAGTACTTTTAGATACTTTAAAAGAAAGAATGCAAAGGTCTAGTTTTATTCTTTAATATTTACAAACATTAATGACTTCCATTGCATGGATTCATTTAAAATGCATTTCAGCAACTACCATACTTCATGGCAATGACAACGAACTTCTTTCTCCCAGTTGACTACACAGACGCCTGTAATGTGGAAAAGATTTTAAAAATAACATCAAGTATATATGTCTTAATAACTGGTCTGATTCCGATTTCTAACTCAGGGGCAGATAACTCATCTGAAACAGATTCTCTCTCAGGAGATATAAAAATACCATGGTGAGAAACGGGTTGGATTAAAATAATTGGGATCAAACGATGACGTTTAAAAATTGTCCACGTGACTTAACTGAGGGTCATTTTAAAACGTCATCGTAGACTCAATTGTCTAACTAGTGAAAATTAGTGAGTATTGCCACTGGTTGATTGAATCTAGAGTACTGAACTTTGATCCCAATTATTTTATTCCAACACGTTTCTCACCTTGGTATTTTTATTTATCACTTACTAATACATTCTACAGTAGATGTCGCTTGTGTGATAGATTTCATAATCTACTGCAATATCTCCTTAGGATATATCACTTTGCATGAATTTGAGTGGTCAGTTGAAAAGGAACTACTTATTTTTATTTTCAAAGAACAGTTCATTTTTTATTAAAAGTATCTTCTTATTTTTTTTTTATTAAAAATGAACTATTTTTATTTAATTGACCTTGGTGGAAACACTGGGTCAATATAAAGGACTTTGTTGAATTGCTGTCAACAAAATGATGTATCACTACGCCGTAATGTAATCAGGTTCAGTAAAAGTGAAATCAATAGTAAAGAATTATATTTATTTATTTGAGCATGTAAGAAAGGATTGGGTGATAAATAAAATCTCTTACTCGTCTTTTGTGATATCAAAAATTATCAACACTCGTCGTCGATATAGTAAAAAAGAACTCGGCAGAGCCTCGTTTTTTTATTTATCGACTTGTGTTGATATTTTTTGATATCAAAAAAGACTCGTAGGAGATTCTCTATATCTACTGAAAGAGAATCAGTTTCATATGAGTTATTTGCTGGCATTTAGAAATCAGAATCAGACTCATTATTTGATAATCTCACTTACGCACATGGACCTAATAACTTAAGACATTATACTTAGTCATAGCTTAATGTTATTTTTGAAATATTTTCCATGCTACAGGCTACAGGCACCTGTGGTTGACTGAAAAGGGCTGGGTTTGCATCAACACCTCATTTAACCGTATCAAAATTGTCCATGTCAGAATGAGGAATGCAAACAAATTCACTTGTTGGTTCCTTTACTATTTTGAAACAATATCCCCTGGATTGGCGGCAACCACGGGGCGAATTTCGGTAGTGTCAACAGTCATGACTCCATCTTCCCCTGGATTAGCTGCAACCATGGGGCAAATTTCACTAGTGTCAACAGGCATGACCCCATCTTCTGGATTAGCTGCAACCACAGGGCAAATTTCAGTGGTGTCAACAGGCATGACTCCATCTTCTGGATTAGCTGCAACCACAGGGCAAATTTCAGTAGTGTCAACAGGCACGACTTCATCTTCCCCTGGATTAGCTGCAACCATGGGGCGAATTGCAGTAGTGTCAACAGGCACGTCTCCATCTTGCCCTGGATTAGCGGCATCCACTACTTTATCTTCCCCTGGATTGGCAGCATCCACAGAGCAAATTTCATTGGTATCAACAGTCATAACTACATCTTCCTCTGGCTTAGCGGCAACCACAGGGCAAATTTCAGTAGTGTCAACAGGCACGACTCCATCTTCCCCTGGATTAGCTGCAACCGTGGGGAGAATTGCAGTAGTGTCAACAGGCACGTCTCCATCTTGCCCTGGATTAGCGGCATCCACTACTATATCTTCCTGTGGATTGGCAGCATCCACAGGGCAAATTTGACAAGTGTCAACAGGCACAACTCCATCTTCCCCTGGATTAGCGTCATCCGCAGGGTAAAAGTCACTAGCGTCAACAGTCACAACTACATCGTCTATCTCAACAACAGTCTTTCCTTCTTCATCCTGCAAACATCTTACTGCTTTGTCCAATTCAGATTTCCTTTAAATACAAAGAGAGAAATGAAATGAAATTGGGTTTAATGTCCTACTGTTCTGCTCCGAACTGGGATAATGAAGACAGGCATACGCCATACAGTGTGCTATGAGGGAAATTTTGCCCGGAAAGTGACGCTACGGCCTACTATGATATAAGTACATACGTGCACGCCAACGTTTTCACGAGACCTGGGTCGTTCGTCCCATTCGAACGACTAGACGATCGATGTACCCAGCTACCCGAATTTGTCAAGCGAAGAAAGTGACCAAGTGACCGCTATAACTTTGATAAAGTTTATTTTTCTGTTGTTTCCTGGTGAGTCAATCCACCATGTGTATAAAATTTGATTATCATATGCAAGATGGCAGCTATGCGAATAAATCAATAAATTTAAAAACATAACCAAAACTTTGATCAATTTTATTGTTCCATTCTGTTTCCTGGTAAGTTAATGCAACATGTTTATAAAATTTTATTATCATATGCAAGATGTCGAGAGAGAGAGAGAGAGAAATGGGGTTTAACGTCCACTCGACACAAACTAGGTCATTTCGGGACTAACATATGGTTTAATTTTATTTACATAATTCGCTTGCGCGTAGGGGTCTGTAGCAGTGGGAGGAAACCGGAGGACCCGGAGAAAACCCACGAGGTTGGACAGGCGACCCTACTCCTTGCCACGTACAACCGGGGATTATGCAAGATGGCAGCCATGTGACTAAATCAATACGTTAAACATCTTCAGGGTCGGATTGAGATGAAAAGAGGACCTAGGCTTATCCAATCACTGACCCTCGTGGATAGATCAAAATTAAAGTATGCTTTAAACACTAAACACACAGACTTACGACAGTGTCAAAATATTGCACCTTAGATCTTTAGGTCCTAGGAGTCAGTTTTTATAAAATCGGACCACGTCAATCAGTATCCCCATTACAAATTAAATCACGGTTAGGCCAAGAACATCGTTAATACTAATCAAACAATCAAAAATACTAAAATCATGACGCCAATTAACAAGCAATACAAGTATACTTCATTACAAAAACATCGCCCTTATGAAAAAGTCCTATAGAAAAAGTACTCGTTTCTATAGAAGTTTGTGGGATTCTATAGAATGCTATAGAATGCTGCAGGAAAACGAAATCATTCTGTATTTTTTTTACATGACTATAGATTCAAAAACATATACAATAGTTTTGTGTAGGATTGGTAGATGAATATTTTCCAAGTGTAATTTCCTATAGAATTCTATAGAATACTGTAAGAAACTATTGGAAAAAAAATAAACCTACAGATTCATTGGTGCTGCAATAGTTTTCTGTAGAACTAACTTGTATCCTCGAGTCAGTTGAGTAATCCTTCAGTTTTCTATAGCCTTTGTGCTAAAAACTATAGTTTGCTATAGAAATAACTTGCATTCTCATGTCAGCTGTGATTCCTATAGATTTGGTGGTAAAAACTATAGTTTTGTATAGAACTAACTTATTGTCTCAAGTCAGTAGTATATTCCTATAGTTGTCTATGACATTCTGTTGAAAACTAAGAATTTATATGTATACTGTACTTAAACCATTTTAACAAATAGCCTACTATAGTTTCCTACATAATATTGTAGAAACAATGTTCTATACTACAGATTTCATAAATTGGCGATGTCTTTTATTCATACTATGTCTATAGTTTACAATAGAATTTAGTGATTCACTTGTGTGAATAATGTAAACTTTTCCAACATAATTTTCCTGGATGCAGTTTTCCTTATAAATTTATTGTGATACCAAATGACAAACTAAAAAAAGCTTACCACGAAAAATAAAATATAAGGTATAAAATAGTGTATATAATATGAATGAAATAGTTATACGATGTTGACACTCAAAGGAATTCCCCATCCCACCCTCCAAAAAATGCCAGTAAATGTAGATGTTCACAACAAAAATATCAGATAATAAATTATTCTTCAGAAGTCAATGAAATAAAGACACAGTTTATTTAGAACAACAAACTAACAAATGACTAGACAGCTGTCCTTGCCAGGCCCTCCGCCCTGCATCACTGACAAATATAAACCACGTCGGAAAAACCCAGATGAACTTTCTCGACCAATGTTTTTATTAAGTATATAATGAAGAAAACGGGCTATTTCTATCTTTATAAATATAACTGTTTTTAGTCTCGAATATTTAGCCGTCTACGGACTATAAATAAAATAATACTAATAAAATGAAACTAGCTTTGCCACACTATTATGAGTTATTCGGGTTTAATTTTATCCTAGACACAACTTTGGATACAACTGTCTATTTATAAATTCAAGATGGTGACACGTGTACATTCGAAAGGTAAACTTTTTGAAAGATTATTTGACTGTTCACAATTACATCGAGATAATCAGGTAAATCCTGTAGAATTACTTTATCTTGGAAGTTGTTTGTCTTATTTCTCAGACAATACAGACACAATATCCACCGACGAGTGTATAATAAGCGAGTTGTTTTAGTTTACACTCCGACAACCAATATTTTCAAACCGTCTGTTGAGATTTGAATTTTAAACCATGTGGCATATGGTTGTGACTATACAATTTGGTATGTATGTAGTCGATAAAATATCCATGGTATTCTTTAAAGTAAATATGGTTGTTTTTTTTTTTGTTTTTTTTTATTGAAGTGGTCACTGGGTTGTAAGAGTTTTTGAATTGTTTATTGTGCAGTTTGAGTTTGTGAGTGAATACGAAACTTTGATTCATCAATAAACCCGAACAGCCAAAGCACAAAATGGAACCTTTTAGTCAAATATTTGTTCGCCATCTGCAGGTTAATAAAAAAAACATTAAGAAAAATGTTCTGACAAAATGTTCGTGAAATCAAACTTGTTACGTAGTTCGCACTCGCAGTCTGCATTAAGAAACCGAACATTCGCTGAACATTTTTTTCCACGCAGCACCAATCACTGAATCAGCGATCAAATACATATCACATGATATTCAAATGTATGCCACTTTAAAATCTTATTAACAATGACGTATATTAATTTATTGGGCAACAGAGTATTGTTTGAGCTAAAACATTTATTTCTTGCGGGATGATGTTTCTCGTCTGCAGTGATTTTATGTGGTGATAGAATATTGTCCGAACAAAAATATAGTTTGTCTGCAGGACCATGTTCTTCGTCTGTGGACAAAAAGAATAAAAAATATTTGTTTATTGACATAAATGTTCCATCATCTGCGCTAGGCTTGAGCAGAAGGTTCCGACAGTTTTGCTTTTGATCGGAACGTCTGTATATTATTAAGGTAAGCGTTTGGGAATCAGTCTTGGTAAACAGGTAGGCTTGTACTCTATGAATACCTAGGAAACCACGGTGGCTCAGTGAGTAAGATGTTGGCTCACTAACCTAGGAGGCCCTGTGTTCAATCCTCTGGTTGGCCGGGAAAGTTCATCTTGGGATTCATGGCGGTTCCCCTTGTTAGAGGTGCAGTTCTGGGGCCCTGGCAATGGACCATGTAAAGTCGTTCGGATGGGATGGAAAATAGAGGTCCTGTGTAGCCTACACATGAACATTCATGTAAAAGATCCCTTGGCAGTTGGAATTCAATATTGGAGTAGACAATAGCGCCACTCACTGGCAAAATTTCCCTTGTAGCACACATACATGTACAGTATGGCATATGCCAGTCTTCATTAGCTCTGTTTCGTATGCCCGTCAGCGCGGAACAGTACGATGTTTATCCCCACTTTCATTTGATTTTATTTCCCATTTTTGGCCCGATTCAGAGAGTGTGTGTGACTATGCCAATTGTATATGGAACTTTTTTTTATGTTTCAGGAAACCGAACACTGCTTTCCTGATGTGTTAATAGTGTTATTTTTGCTGGTATTGTTCAAAAAAGGATTGAAAAAGTGTGAAGTTGATGTGAATTGAATTTGTCAAGCAGGGTTAATCTCGACAGAACGATACAGGAACACAGTGAAAATATTGCAAAATAATCAAAACCGCAGATTGCCTTTATTCTGAGCAGGAAGCTCAAGGGTAAAATACATTTCATTAAAGTGAGAAGAATAGAAGAAGTCTTTATTAAGAATAAAAAAAGTGAAGATACCCTAAAAAAGAACTATAAATTTATCTTAAAATGCCAGCTAAAGAAAAAACCAAAGGTCAGAAACAGATAGTAGAGGATAACAAATCAACTTTAAAGTTTTATTTTAACATCACAGTAGGAGTGACTTGTGTCTATTATCTTGTCTATTTCTTCCTCTTTTGGGAGAACTTCACCGCTAAACCAATCACCTTATCATGTCTAGCCGTGTTAACTTATTTTGGTTGCTATCGGTTCATGACGTCGATGGCAACGGCTGTTTATAACGCACAAGGAAGCTTAGTTGATGGAGGTGTTGATTTGAATATGGAAGCAGGACTTGCAGAACATACTAAAGATTTGATTCTTTTGACGGCTATAGTGCAAATTCTTAGTCTGTTGAGTAATTATTTCTGGTTATTATGGCTTTTAGCACCGTGTCGAGCTTTGTATATGTTATGGGTGAACATATTAGGACCATGGTTTTTTGCTCCAGGTTCCGAGGAGAATATTAGCGAGAAAAAACAGCGGAAAATGGACAGAAAGGTTCGAAGAGTTCAGCGGTGATGGCAGAGTTGATTCTAGCAAAAATATTTTGAAAATTTCTATTTAAATTCTATTTCTAATGTTTTGATTTTTATAAAATGTTTATAACTTAATTAAGAACTATTACAATTCACTGTATTCATTCCCCATGCCAGTTGATTAGTTTTAATGAACTCAGTTCAACATCTGAAATTTGATCTTTTGATTTTTTTGAGGGGTGGGGGCCCAAATGGTTAACATGTGCGTGTTGGGTCATATGATCTGTCATTTGGTCAAGTGACATGGTTTCAATTCCCGGCTTGTATGTTACAAGGAGTAGGGCCATCTGTCCAACCTTGTGGGATTTCTCTGGGTCCTCAGACTTCTAAAGACCCCTACTCGCAAGTAGGTCATTGAAATAAAATTGAATCATACATGTATGTTAGTTCCGAAATGACTTGGTTTTTTTCAAGTGGATGTTAAACCCCATCTCTCTCTCTTTTTTATCTGTATCATCCTCGGTCTCCCCAGTTGTACATGTATCTTTCCATTTTACTGGAGCCAGTAACCCCTGGCTCCATTTACAGGGTATTCAAAGTAAGGAAATTTACTTTCAAAGAAGTGAAAAGCACACAAAAATGGTGTCCTAAAGTATTTTGACAAAGTTTACAACCAGGATTCCGCGATTTTAGTTTCAACAAAATGTGAATTACCTCCCTTCACCCACTAACTTTATATTTATGGAATTTTTTTATTTGTAAAATAACACCATTTGACCCTGGAGTTTGTGGTGTAGAATGGAACCATACCACTTGGGATACCAAGGATTGGAGAATACATATAGGAATACATGTGTACTCCCCAATAAAAACTAAAAATCAAATTTAAGTGAAATGTTGGCATACTGAGTACAGTAAAAATATACTTTGTAAAAAATTATAAAATAAATTAATTTTGTGTTATTAATGAATTAATAAAATAATTTTAAAGCCTTGAAGCCTCCCTTGGAATAATTAACAGGATTATTTATCGAACCCGATTATCAGTCCAGATCGTCCAGAATTGACAAAACTGCAATCGAGTGACAGTAACACAATGCAATTATACACTTCTAATACATAGAGAATCTCCTACGAGTCTTTTTTGATATCAAAAAATATCAACACATGTTGATAAAGTAACAAAAAACGAGGCTCTGCAGAGTTTTTTGTTACTTTATCAACGAGTGTTGATATTTTTTTATATCAAAAAAGACGAGTAGGATATTTTATTTATCACCCAATCCTTTCTTACGTGCACAAATAAATAAATATAATTCTTTGCTGTAGATTTCACTTTTACTGAACCCGATTACATTACAGCGTTGTGATACATCATTGCAAAGTCCTTTATATTGACCCAGTGTTTCCATCAAAGTCAATTAAATAAAAATAATTCATTTTTAAAAAAAGGAGTTACTTTTAATATAAAATAGTCTCGGTCACCCAGAACCGCCTAGTCTTCAACATACGGATAGAATATTGTTCTGGATGATAGAGACTAAATAAAAATGAACTGTTCTTCGGAAATACAAAAAAGTAGTTCCTTTTTAACTGACCAATCAAATTCATGTAAAGCGATATCTCCTAAGCAGAACCCTTGACAATCAGAATGCAATTGCGGCCATCTCAAAATATCCGTCACAGCACATTGCACGGCATATGTGGTTCCTCCTTGTCAGTTGTGCAGGACCGAGGGCATGGCATGGAACAACGTATAGTAATTCAAATGGGACGATAAAAAAACAAGGTTCCGTGTACACATTGGCATGCAGGTGAAAGATCCCTTGGTCAATGGTGGTTCCTGTATGGCCTGTGCCCGTCGTCATTAGCCTGGTTGCAGGACGTTAAACCCCATTCCATTTTATATTTGATAGTGAAGTCACAGTAAAATCCACAGTAAACTCCATAATGAACACCAGGACAAAGCATCGACAGCACTGTCTGATTCGGAGCTATAGAATATTCGCTCTGCTGTGTACAAATCTTATTGTTGCCGTTTAGCATAATTGTATTTTAAATTTTACGAGGACAGCGGGGTTTCCGTCTACCAAGGGTACTTTTACATGCACAGCAACTTTTTCACGAGGCCTAGGTTGTTTGCCCATCCGAACGTCTAGACGATGCAAGGGCCTGGTGCTGGTGACCCATGATGTTGCATGAGGCACAAGATCCTGTCAGGGGACCCAAAAAACAAAATTTATACGTGTGTGTCCGGGGGTGGTGGTCCTCCCAGTCCCACTTATTAATATTGGGTTGTGCGAAACATGCTAGAGTGGATTCGTAGCATATCTGACCCACGGTATATGTTTAGCAAATGAAACGAAATGGGGTTTAACGTCCATACGCCATACAGTGAGGGACATTTTGCCCGGGCAGCTGCATTATGGCTTATTCTTATATCGAATTTCAACTGCCAAGGGATCTTTTATGTGCATGTCAATGCATACACAGGACCTCAGCGTTTCGTACCATCTGAATGACTAGACAGCTGTCCTTGTCAGGCCCTCCGTTCTACACCACCAACAATGGGCGTGGGGGGGGGGTCACGCTGGCTAGGTGTGTAAGACACTGGCGCGCTAGCCTGGAGGTCGGGTGTTCGATCTCTGCATTGGCCAAGAAAGTTCATCCAGATTTTCCGGCGTGGTTCCCCCTTGTCAGTGATGCAGGACAGAGGGCCTGACAAGGACAGCTATCTAGTCGTTCAGATGGGACGAAAAAACGAGGTCCCGTGTACACATTAGCGTGCACGTAAAAGATCCATTGACAGTTAGAATTCGATACAAGAGTAGGACGTAGTGCCGCTGTGCGAGCAAAATTGCCTTCATGGCCCACTGTATGGCGTATGCCCATCTTCATTAGCCCAGTTCGGAGCAAAACAGTAGGACGTTAAACCCCATTTCATTTCACCAACAAGGGGAAACCACGTCGGAAAATACCTATGAACTTTCTCGGCCAGCGTCTTACCCACTTAACCACCATGGCTCTTATATGGTTGACACTGGTTGGGCATTATGATTATAATGTTGAAAATAGCATTGAAACCGCTTGATTTTTGCCATTTGCGAATGGGTGCAAAAACTCAAAACCATGACGCAAAGCGCGTCATGGCATCCCTCTCACTTAGCCCCTCTTTGATGTACCTAGCTATGACCTCCGCCCGACACCACCGCTGGAGAATTCTGTGACAACAACTTTTATTCTTTATATAATAATTTGTGGTGACTTTGTACATGCGAAGAGAACGATCGATATAAATTTTATTTTTCCATCTTGTTTCCTGGTAAGTTAATTCACCATATGCAAGATGACAAGCATGCGAATAAATCAATAAATAAAACATATCTATAACTTTAATATATTCATTTTATTTCCGCAATAAATTGTTGTTCGATTCTGAATTTGACTGGGTTGACTGGGACTAGAATACAATCCCGCACGTTTGAAATCTAAACTAACTCTGACCGATGGACATAACCGGATTAAAATGAAGAGAGGACATAGGCTAATCCAATCACTGACCCTCGTGGCTAACATATGGTTCAATTTTATTTCAATAATTCTCTAGCGCATATGGGTCTTTAGCAGTTGGGGGAACCTGGAGAAAACCCACGAGGAATCGAAACCCCGCCACTTGACACAATAACAGACCTTATGATTAAACACGCACGCGTTAACAATCGATCCCCATCCCTCCTGAACGTCTGGTCTGTTGCGGACGTTAAAGACACCATCAATCACCCAGATACGATAAAACACCATTCAGTAAGAGTATCCAACCAATCAGAATAGCGTTGAATTTGTTGACATATCGCCCACTGACCCCTTAAGGTTAAAATATTACCCACAAGAGATTTATATTTATAGATCCACCGCCAGTAATAAGATAAGGGCCCATCCAACAATAATACCAACAACAACTCCAGGTTAGGCAAACTTTATATATGACATGACATACCAGCATACAATCTCAAAGTGGTACAAGAAAAACACGGAGCACGGGACGAAGGCGGAAACGGAAGTGCCGGCCGGTCGTACTTGGCTACAGGGCATAACGGGTGCAGGCTGTTTCGTAACCTGGCTGTTTCGTACTTAGTTCATTCGTACCTCACTTCGTACCTCAAATTGATCCGTACCTATTCCTATGTTGTTGAAATCATTTGAAAGAAATTGAATATGCCGAACGAGAAATAGAATATACAAGAGATTTGTACCTCAAATTGATTTGTTCCTTTTCCTAAATCCAACAGCTGGTCTAAAATAAATTTATAAAAATGGCTGCCGAACGAGAATTAGAATGCACACGTGATTTGTACCTCAAATTGATTCGTACCTTTTCCACATGTTGTTAAAATAAAATTAAAAAAATTAAAATAAATCTATATGTTGTTGAAAGAAATTGAAATAATAAACTATAACCTGGTGTTGACTATCGAATCCAATTTGCTCAGTGAGTTGTGATTATTGACGACACTTGATTGGTGATTGTTAAAGCAGTTTAAAAAAACGATTGAAAAAGTATTTAATCTGGTGTTGATTATTGAACCCATTCTGCTGAGTTATAATTGCGATTTGTGATTATTGACGATAATTGATTGGTGATTGTTAAAGTGGTTAAAAGCGATTGAATATACTAAGAATTCCAAAATGTGACACGTAATGTATTATTCATTATAATAAATCAATTTAACTCACTGTAGAGAGTGCTACGTTGAAGGTAATAGCATCATCTCCTATCTCGAAACACGGAGGGTTGAGAGATCAGGTTTGTTATCTAAGCAAGTCTCCAAAGGGTGCCTACGTGTGAAGATGGGCGTACGCGTTTCTTTGATCTGACATATCACGGGGTAATTCTGTTATTGAAACCGAACTCCATGAAAATGGCTTTCGATCGTAACCGATGTTGAATTTGATCAAATCGTTTAATTATGTTTCACCTTTATTTCAATTTCTGTCAAACACGTACATTTAGGAAAACAAACTAATCTCGTGCATATTCTAATTATGGCTCGGCAGCCACTTTTATACATTTAGCGTAGCCGTTGGATTTGATCAAATAGTTTCACCTTTATTTCAATTTCTTTTAACTGATTTCAACAATACAGAAAAAGGTACGAATCAATTTGAGGTACGAAGTGAAGTACGAAACGGCTCATGTGAGGTACGAATAAACTAAGTACGAAACAGCCAGGTTACGAAACAGCTGACATTCGGCATAACATACTCTAAATGACTAACTTGATTCCATACAAGTATTGTATGGCGCACATTTTAAACTCCCACACAATTAAGAGTGTATCCGCGAGAAGACCATGCAAAAATCGCAATAAGTGCTAAGATGGGGGGGGGGGTCGGAAGTTTTTGATCAAACTTATGGTATGACACCCCCTAGGGGCAAGAGGTAACATGCTGAAGTGGTTACAGTCTGATGTCGCTCTAAAGGACTGTACAGGAATTATTCATTTTATGGTTAAAATTGCGGTTTTCACATGTGTATTTATCACCTTTTTTAAGCAAAGACTGCATTCTATGGTGGAATAGCAACCTTCTTATTTTGACCCTGTGCAATAAAGCGGGTGGTCAACTTCTACCCCAGCACTAATTTGAAAAAAAAAATCAGTACATACTAATTTTGTGTGGACTTGTTCTAGGGTACCATATTCTCATTGTCCTTATAGTGCAGAAAAAGATACACTGTAACTTTTTCTTTCATGGTCGCAAGTAGAATTTCTTTGGATGGTTTTGAAGTGCTAAGCACATAGTATCCATAGGTGTAAAAAAAATGACCGGAATGCAACATACTTAAAATATACAGCTTATTGAAAAGTGCTAAAAATAAGCTTTTGTGATACATTTTTTTGCAAATTTAATTAGAGAAATAAAATTTTTGACTTTTATACGTTTTCATCATATCCATAGCCATTATTTGTACCATGTTGTATTCTATATAAGTATGTATTTGTATTTATTGTATATTTGGTATTGTCGTATTGTCCCTTTAACATATTTGTTGTATTGTCTCTTTAAGATTTCATTTTCAAACAAGTAACCGAAAATGGCTACAAAATGTTTTATTTCTGAGCATGTTTCCACTATTCATTTTGGGACACATCCACTGATTTCTACAATACAGAAATGTGGAAGCTTAAATATTAACGGCAACGAAGCCTAATTGCGTCGAAGTGGGTGACATTGAACAGTGTAGTATGGTAGCTACAGCTCTCGGGCACCGTCAGCTGCACCTTCAGGGCCGGATTTAGAATAAGAGAGGCCCTAGGCAAACCCCCTGAACAGGGCCCACGACATGGACCTTGGGGCCCTGGGACAAGCAACTCGGTGAGAGGGTGGGTCGGGGGAAGTCATGCGGTTGGTGGTTCGAATCTCACTTTTAGGTGAATTTTTCATTTTCGTTGGATTTTTTTATTTAAAATAATGTCTATTTGAGAGTAATGGATATGTTTGTTAAGATTGAGCACGTCGAAACTCCAATGGAAGGTCGTGGACAACTGCAGAAGTCAATTTCCGTTGACGCCAGATGAGCCATGAACGATTACAGGCCTTTGAAAGTATTTTTTTTTCAAGATATTTTTATAAAACAGATACTAATGTATTTTAGGGCTGGTAGTAAACACCATATGAATGAAAAGGAAAATAAATTGTTAGGGTTTTTTTTATCTACTACGGTTAATTATCTCCAAAATAGGGAAATTACAGGTTAATTTCATGGGTTATTGTTTCCTTTACCTAGTTTTTGTCAAGTCGATTCCGGTCATTTTTATTTTTTGTATCAAATGTTGGGAGGTTGCTTGTTCACGTGAGCATAAATTTTTTAAACCCACCCCATGAAAAAAGTAGCTATAGGGCGTCAAACTTTGGGTGACGAAAAATGGGGAATTTAGACAGGCTTTGATATCCAGTCCGTATACAGATCTCGTTCGCCAGAATCGTCTGAAGTTAATATTGTGGTAACAGCACTGAGTCATCGATAAACTGTGTGAGTTTGGTCTTTCTGCTATGTTTTTTCAATTTTCTCATACAGGAATTGAAAGATTTATCTAATATTGCACATTTATGTGTTTTGGGACTATCCCAACTTATAAACCAAATTTGGTCAAAATCTGTGATTGAAGCCTTAGCACCTTCTGCATGGTTTTCTCGCGGACACGCTCTTAAGGATCATAAGATATATTTTAACACCATTCAGCAAGAACGCGCCCAACCAACCAGAGTCCAGAGCACGCTCAACCAACCAGAGTCCAGAGCACGTGGAATAACGTTGAATTTCCGGAAACTAAAACTTTCTGAATTAAAGGTTTCCAAGTGTCTTCTTTTGTGCTATGAGGGAAATGTGGCCAGACATCAATGGAATTCCAATGTCAAGGGTTCTTTTACGTGCACACTAAGTTATTGTTGACGATGGACGGAGGCGACGACTGTATACACCCAAACTATGTGTGGGCGTTTTAAAAAAAAGAAGAGAACAATGCATTAGCAGTATTTTTATTTAGTTGTGAACTTGCTTACAGAAGAACAGCTAATATTGAGATTGTTAAACAGACAATAGGTTGGTAATATTGACATGTAATATATTAATACTTGTAGAAGGTTGGTAATATTGACATGTGATATATTAAAACTTGTATAGACAGTAGAAGAATGTTTAAGATTTCTGTGATTGTAGAATATACTGCTGGTTGTCTGGTCTAATGATTTTATATTTATTATGGTTCAGACTGAAATAAACAACATGTACAGGTTCAGTTTCATAATACCCATTCGTATCAAAGATATCGGTGTGTATGTATGTTTGCCCATCACGCTTCATCGCCAAGATCTACCCCCCCAACTATGTGAAATCAAATTAACCAGCATGATCCAGTTCAACTTGGATCCTGCTAGTTATTAAACTGACGATAGCTAATGGTGGGTAGATCGGTGGGGGTGAATAGTACCACAGTGGTGTTGTAAGCCAAGAAATCCCTGTTAAATAAAATGATCGGATCTGAAGGCTGGTCACAAAGCAGACAGGCTGGACTTGAGCTTAATTGACCGTGATATTAAATTACTTATTAATGTTACTTACACAGAGCAGAACACAGCTGGAATCACTGACGTCATAACAGGTGGATAGACCATCATCACAAACAGAGGCTAGAAAATAAAAAAAAAACGTTGTTTACAATGAGAACAGACACCACGCTGTCTAGATCTATTTACTAAGGCTCTCTACAGATTTCATCAAGGTCAGGAGATGTAAACATGGCTAGGGCACGTGATTGATGCCGAGGATTGCGGGTTAGGGTTAGGGTAAGGCCGATATTAATCAACGATTTTAGTCGAAAACATTAAGTATCCAACGAGAATTGCAACGACACAGCCCCCCTCAAACCATTAGGCCTAAAGCTCATCTCAAAGTGCCAAAAAAGTGGAATTTCGGTACAGCCCACCCACTTCCCAAATAAACTTTATGAATATGTATTAGTTCAAATGGATTTGTTTCTAGTACGGTATCTTAGTTTGAACCGCGTGAAGGATTGTTTGGTGTAGCTCTTTTCGTCTCATCCGAACGACTAAACATTGACCTTTGCCAAGCCCTCCGAACTGCACCACTGACAAGGGAGATGCACACCGGAAAAATTCAGATGAACTTTCTTAGCACACGCGGTATTAGATCTAAATATTAAGGTCACCTGCATATTTCGTTAAGGTCATGCGATGTTAACAGGGTTAGCGCACGTGATTGTTACCGAGTACTGTGGGTGAGGGTTAGGTTTAAGAATTTGTGGTAGAGAACCAACTGTGAAATATAATCTGGTTGTATTTATATATCGGTACAGTATCTAGAACGTCTGTGACCAGTTGTAATATAGACTATGGTATTATAAACATGTATATATTAACATACCGTGACAGTTTCTGTAGATACAGATCAGTTGTTGTCTTCCAACACAAGTTTCACCACAATCAGGTGACTCTACAAATATACATACATAATAATATAATCACACACGCCATGCATTGTTATATGAGGGGAATTATGCCTCGACAGCGTCGCTACGACCTACATACGTGATGATATTATCGGTGGCTTAGTCAGTAAGACGTTGACTCGCGAATGGAAGTCGTGTGGTCGATCCCAATGTTGGCCGAGAAAGTTAACTCTTGTCGTTGTTCGGGCGGTAGGACATACATGTAGACCTGCACATAAACGATCTCTTGGCAGTTGAAATTCGATATAATAGAGTAGGCCGTTATAGCGTCACTGTCCGGAACCATTTCTGACTGGTATGAGAACCTCCCAAATAAATGAGACACTATTAACCGTAAGCATACCCTGCCTAATGTAATCAACTTACCTGGAACTGGACGTACTCTACAACATCCATCTGGATTACCACAGGTGTTATCACCACACAAGTCAACTAAAATAGAATAAAACAAATGATATATAGACAAACAACTACACTGAATATTGAGATGAGTATCAGTGGATGTTCTAGCAATACTGCGCATGATATGCTCTGTGCACAGTAACCGTCAATTCTATCATAACTATCTATCACCGCGGGTTCATCTAAAGTTTTTTTCTGGCTCCTGTTCGTACTCCCTTCCATTTTAAGTAACATCTTGACCCCCTTCTATTCCCTGCATACCCAGGCTCCTTCCATTCCTGAGGGGTTGTGTGGCCGAATGGTTACTGTGTGAGCGCTATATCATAATAAGGTATGTCAACTAGGTAGAGGTCTGTGAAGAAGTATAATAGGTTCATAACTCTAGAACCGGTAGTTGGTAGTGCTTTTCTTCCAATATCAAGGCATTCGTTTAGTGTGTCCACACAATGATGTATATACATGGACTATCACATCATAAGTCCATTCAATGATAGACAGTATAGTCAGACAGGAAACACTTCAAAATTCCCATAAGAAACACCTTAGATCATGTTTTCTTATGGAAAAAAAACTCCACCCTGGAAGAATAACCTGTTACAGGTTTAAAGAAAAACTTTCAGAAGAATAACCCCAAATTCCCCTATATATATAGTGGAAATCAATTTGGCTAGCTGTTTGGCTAGCTGCTGGAATTGTTTGGCTGGATACTGAAATTGTTTGGCTGGAATTGTTTGGCGAGATACTGGAATTGTTCGACAATTTGCTGGGATTGTTCGGTTTGTGGTCTGGGATGGCTGACACCTAGGACCTCAAGATCTAGGGTGCAGTATTTTTGACACTGTCATAAGTCTTTGTGTACCGTGTTTAAAGCACGCTTTCGTCTTGATATCTTGATCTATCCACGAGGGTCAGTGATTGGATAAGCCTAGGTCCTCTTTTCATCTCAATCCGGCCCTGAAGATGTTTAACGTATTGATTTAGACACATGGCTGCCATCTTGTATATGATAATCACATTTTATAAGCATGGTGAATTAACTTACCGGGAAACAAAATGGAACAATAAAATTGATCAAAGTTATGTATATGTTACAGCTGTCGCTTTTTTCGCATGTACAAAGTCACCACAAATGTATTGTTGTAAATGATGAGTTCTATACAGGTCACGTGATACGTGTGACGTAACTGGTGTTAAACAAGTCACTTATTATACACAGTGCTTGGACTAGGTGGAAATTAGCCATTTTTCCTCAAATTTAGGAATGCGACCCCCACAGACAATACAGTTCTGTTGAAGAGAATCTTGTCATCAACTTGTCAAAGACAATATGTTGTATCCTAATTATCTGATACAGATGATGTGTTGTTTAGGGCATGCTAAGTATCATATTACACTGCTCTATATTTAGATGGTTTTGGATCAGTTTCTATATGAGACTTTTAATTCACATTCAAATTAAATGTTGAAAAAAAAAAAAAAAAAAAAAATAAAAATTTAATAAATAAATTGATTCAAATATTACATAAAGTTATACTAAGCTTTTTATATTTTAAATTTGATGTAATAGAAGAAACTTTATTGCGTAAAAAAATTACAAGATTATGTGCATATACAAATAAAAATAATATTAATAGAAAGATACATGCAGTAAGCAAAGATACATATACATGTACATAACTATACAAAGATACACAACTTTACAAAGACATGAACAAATTGTATACAAAAGCTCCCAAACATTCTAAAATGTCTACATTTGTTTTGATCATCAGTATCTTAAATCGTTGAGAGCCACGGTTGCTAAGTGGGTAAGACACTGGCTCGCTAGCCTGGAGGTTGAGAAAGTTCGTTGGGATTTTCCGGCCTGGCTTCTCCTTGTCAGTGGTGCCGGACGGAGGGACTGACAAGGACAGCCGTCCAGTCGTTCGGATGGTACCAAAACCGACTGCCAGGGTATACATTAGCGTGCGCGTAAAAGATCCCTTGGCAGTAGGAATTCGATATAAGAGTAAGCCATGGTGCAGTTGCCTGGGCAAAATTTCTCTCATAGCACACTGTATGGCATATGCCGTTTTCATTAGATGGACAGAATCCAGCAAGTTATGGTCTGAAGTATCAACATTAGGAACCCAATCTTTGGGATATAAATATATAACTGGATGAAAATTGTGACCTCTAGAGGATCAACAAGCTAAAAACGAGACCCGGTCTGGTACATGCCAATATCGAAAGAAACCAAGATTTTTGGGAGATATGCCCATATTTCAAGTTCTGTCAACATCGGATAACAATTGTGACCTGTTGAGTGTCAACAAACAAATTATGGCCAGACAAATGGACAGTGGCACAGCAGTATACATCCACAAGAACATGTAGTCGTATAAAAATCAGGACCGGAAGAAATGACCCCTCTCAAATTAAAATAACAGCTCTGGTCTGGTATCTGTGTTCTTCCTTGAATAAAAAGAATATGTTATGTATTGGGTTGGTTAGAATATTAGTTATATGACAGTCTCAATATGGAGGCAGACCACCATTAATTTCCCCATTGACTTCAATGTTAATTCTGGCCTCTTTGCCCACCTTCAACTTTTCCCCAAATTTTCGTTTGGCTGAATGCTTTTCACTACAGACAGAGGAACAAATGGTCATGTCTTTGCACTAAAATTTGTATGTGGTTGACCACCAAAATTTTGAGATACACAAAAATGAAAAAGCATACTAAAAACATGTAACTAGTTGCCGTACATATCGCTTAGCCAAACTGATAACCCTGTTATCCTTTCGCCTCAAAATCATGAATATTTACCAAAACCTGGCAGAAAATGTTAATTCAAACCCTCTTCGTCCATTCCAGACCAAAAAATCAACAAAAATGGGCATGCAAAAGGGGAGAAAAGAGAGAGAGAGAGAGAATTGCTATAAATAAACGAACTACAATTCGTGGTCTGCCTCCATATGTAACACTTCATCATTAAGTTAATTCACCATATTTAAAATGACAGTTTAAGAAATGTTACTTTAATTTTAAAATAAAATGCGCATTTTAAATTTTATCTAGTTAAGTACATGTATTTGCAAATCCTGTACGAAAATACACACAACTACAGTACATGTACCTTGTCTCGGGTTAAAACATGCAAATCCTTATCCAATTAAAGATACAAGTAACGTTTTCAATGGCATACGGAAACGCTTTACAGCGGCCTCGCTTAGTACACTCTATCATTTAGCCTCGATCTAACTGACGTATTTTCATCAGGTTACCCCTTATCTGATTTAATCAATTAGTGAAATCCTGTTTAAATCCGAGCTGTAGCCGAGCCATCCGTGGGTCTACAGAGTTGATTTTGGTCTTGTTGTTTAAATAAAGATCTAATTTATAATTTCTATAACATCTGAAGCCTAAATTAAGACTTGCAATAATCAGAATTAGCTCTTGCATAATGCATGTTTAAACTTCATAATACATATGTTGTTTTCAGAAAGAATATAATTATAATTAGCTCACCTTTATTGAAAGATGTCAATTCTTCATTCTGGCATCCACTACAATTCTTTCTAATGATAAAACTTGGTTTTTGGAATAAATAAACAACCGATTCCCCAGAAATGATACCGATTAATATAATAATAAATGATGTCATTTGATACCCCCAATAGCAGGCAGGTTTTATAGTTGTCAACATTTCGGGGGGTAATAATGCTATCAAGTCGGACATGTTGTTTAGATTAGCATACCAGCCAATTAAATGTCAGTGAACTGGACACAACACAAACATCCAAAATTTAGCCCCTTTTCTGGACCTCGTCTATGCACTGTACAGCTACCAAACTATCAACACGTCGCTACCACAGCTCGTCTACTTGTGTGTTTGGTGGTTCAACATAGTAAGTCAAGAAATATTACATTGGCGTCGCCGTAAATTCACTCGTCTACGACTCCTATTGAATATTGGTTTATCGACTGAAGAAAGTGCTGAATTAGCAATTCCAAGTATGTCGAGTCAATCAGGTGTGTTGTAAATTTCACGCTTGAAAATTGGGTCATACTCATTGCTTTCAGAGATTTCTGAAGGTCCTACTACAAGTGCCTATTCATTGCAGTTCGATATATCCGGATTAAGAAGAAAAGAGAGAGAAGGAGTATATGAACGGCACTTCAATAACTATATTAAAGATTACAGCATAAATCCATTGATACAGATAATTATCATTCTTTGTTTCACGTAAACGAAGAAAAGTGGTCACGTGAGTTGTTTTCATTGACGACTGCGTTAGTTACACTTTATAGGCGGTCATAGCTGCCAAAAACTACAACTACGAATTAATCTAAGTCTGTGTATTTATTCCCAATAATTTTCACGAAGTTTGCTGATATACCCCCAGTGAAAACTTATTTAATTCTTATCTGAATTATAAATTAATATTTTTGCTGACTTCTTCAAGTCGGTTCTTGAAGTTCTATCAGTTACAGTCCCTGTTGCACTTATTATTGGTATAGGTGCATAAAAAGTTACTTGGTGTATGGAAGATAATCTCTGACAAAATTATCTTCTGAACAGAGACTTAAATTAGTCAAGTCAAAATAAAGATAACCTGTTGTATTCTCTCAATCTTTGTCTGTTTTCATTGAAGAAGGGAGAATGGCTCCTATAGACATGCAGACCGCTGATTTGAGATCCCTAATGTGTCTGGAGAAGATTGGGAAAGTTGAGGCGGCGAATATCATAGAGGAAAGGGAAGTTTTAGGCATCATCGACATAACAATGTCAGATGCAACTGAGGTCACCGGGCTGCAACCTGATATTTGGCGCAGGTGGGTTGATGAGGGCCGTGTTACCTTTGGCACTGTCTTTGATGGCCGACCAGTAGATAAACCGCAGACGTTGACTTTAGCCCAATTTCAGGCTAGCCAAGGCAAGCTCCACGATCAACTGTCTTGGAAGCATGATGCTCTGTTTACTTTGCAGCGTGAAACAACAGAAAAGCTTTGTGGAATGATGACTTCTGTATTGGAACGTGTTGGTTTACAGCTTCCCTTGTCTGAATCTACACAACTGCATGCATTGCTCACTCCAGTTACTCCTATTCCAGTTTCTCCAGTTATACCTACTCCACCATTTTTGAGAGAAACTGCAGATCCTGTAATAACCAACACATTAGACACTTTTCCAAAAGAAAGCAGGTGTGAAAGACCTGGTCATTTTGTTTCTGATGTTCAGTCGTCGGTCCCTGCTGATGGCTCTAGCTGTATTTCTGGGATGAATAACAATCTTTTGACTAGTACTTTTGCTTCCGCTGTCAAATCCCGGACTCAAGTTGGTATTTCTCAGCAAGTACCGGATTCTGAGCCAGGTCGTGCAGAGAGGTATCCTGCTACTTCCGGACCTGTGTCACCTGATCAGGTCAATGCTTTCGATGCACAAACTGGAAGCACATATAATAATTAGACTTGGCATTGTGATGAGATGAATTCCACGCACCACAATTCTTGTAGTCGGAAGGAAAAGTCACTGAAGGAAATATCAGTCTCTAACTATCGCTCCATGGGTATGGTTAAGAGTCGTTCCCATAATGAACCGTCTACAACTTCGGTAAAATACACGAAGGAGTCTTTGTCCAGTCTAAAGGAGATAATTGTGGGGCAACCCGTTTCCTTTCAGGCCCAGTCACCAGACTCACCACCAGCCAATGAAGTTTGTGGCGTTACTGAAAGATCAGCTGATGCTCGGACTCCGTTTCCACAATTGCGGAAGGATGTAGCTTGGATTAAGGATGCGATGTTTAACACTCGTATGCTGCGTTATGATACGCGGTCCACCCAACACAAGCGGCTTGAACCTCAACGTCCATCCCCCAATCCTAATGCCTATCCATCTCAGGATTCACGTAAAACGCTTGACCACTCTTACGGTCAGTCCTTCAGGTCACAGTCCAGGTCTGGTCACAATTCGCCTTCCTGCAAACTTCCTTGGAATCCTTGACATTCTCCAGGTGATGCTGCTGCTCAATGGCGATTTTCATCATCTAGAAATCGTTATCAATATACAAAATTACTATCCGCTTCTGGAGTTAAACCTGTTCCGATGCAACAGACAGAGGCAAT